CGAAAGGAAGAAGTTAGAGCAAAGGCCAGGGGTCAGGACTCCTGTTTTCTCCTGATGCTGGCTCATAATATATCTGTCACCTCTCTGTGCCTCAGTTTCCCCTTGGTCAAACTGAGATGTTTCCCTCCCCTGTGGGCCTGAGAGAGTTAATGAAAGTTGCAGTACTGAGAGCTCCCAGGTGAAATGCTCCATCAATGTGCAAAGCGCTGTTTGATTCTGAGGTGCTGAGACCACAGGGCATTGAGCTGCGCCCCACCGGGCTCTGCTGCTGGGTTTGTGGTGAAGTGTTGGTGCCAGGTGCCTTGCAGTACAGATCTGGGTGGCTGTAGGTTGCAGGATGGAGGCCCCGGGGGTTGGCCAGGCCTCAGTGCACTAGGCCTTGGGTTCTGAAAATGCTGCAGGATTTCACAGCCTTTTTCAAGCATGTTTATACCTGCTCTGTGCCCTGTGTTGTAGAGTGCACCAAAGCAGCCCTGTCTGTCGCTGCAGCCTCTCTGACAGCCTGAGGAACTGTAGAGCTCATTTTCTTTCCTTCTGTTTTCTCCACCTCTCTCTCCCCTTTCCCTCCTCCTGCTTTTCTGTTTTTTCCACTCATGCCCCCTCAACAGATTTTTCCCTCTGGGAACACGCACCCCAGTGTGAAAGCCCTCAGCTAGGCAGCGTCATGCAGGGCCAAGTTGGCGACTCTCTCAAATAGGTCTCCCCTCTCTCTGAGCTGGCATCTTTCCATGTCTCTGGTGCTTTGGGACAGGGCTGGGGCAAGCAGTGTCTCTGAATTGCTTGGGCTGTGGAGCTCACACAGTCCCCTTCTCTCCCCACACTGTCTGCTCCATTGTCTGGAGTCTCATCCTGCAGCTCAGCTCCATCCTCCCACTCAGGGCTTTCCCCAGTGACACAGCCCTTTGTCTGGGAGGGCTTGGCTCACCAGCTGAGGCCTAAGCTCTTGTTCAGAGGTGTCGGGTGGGTAGAGCTGTGGCAGGGACAGAGGCTCCTTAATGTTTCATAGATTTCATAGACATCAGGGCTGGAAGGGACCTCGGAAGATCATCGAGTCCAGCCCCCTGCCCAAAGGGCAGGAAGTCAGCTGGGGTCATAGGATCCCAGCAAGATAAGCATCCAGTTAAGCGTCCCATAAGCATGTGGGAGTCTGCTGCCCCCAGGCAGCGCAGACTACCTCTGCCCCTCCCTACTGCTCTGCAGGGCAGCTACCTGCATCACAGCCATCCCCGTTAGCTCAGTCTTCTGGGCTGTTGAAGCAAGTTGCTTCTTCCAAGCACAGACTCTAAGCAGGAGGCTGCCTCGTCCCTGGGATCTGAGCCAAGGCTGCAGGGATCTTCTCACTGTAGTGAAAACACACATGGCTCCCACTCCAGCCCCCCTCTCTGCCTCTTGTTTTGCAGCCATTCTGGCCACTGGGCACCGGTGTGGCCAGGGGCTTCTTAGCTGCCTTTGACGCTGCCTGGATGGTGAAGAGATGGGCAGCGGGGACCCCTCCACTGGAGGTGCTAGCTGAGAGGTGAGGAGTCCCTTCCTGTGGGGCGCAGGGGCTGCAGGCAGGTTCCCGGTTGGCGGGGCGCATTTGGTTGGTGCCGTGGAAGAGCTCTCAACCTCCCTGATTCAGGGCACAAGCCGAACTCCAGTTTGGGGGTGTCAGGAGAGAACTGCCCAGGGAGCAAGGGATTGGGGAAGTGATGTGCCCAGCATGGCAGGGGTGGGTCTAATGCCTAGAGGACTGCTGCTGTGACTGTCTGGCAGTCCCATGCTCCTGCATGCAAGCACAGTTCCTGCTCTGGAGAGCTCTGTGCCTCCCTTTGTCCAGGAGGTAGGAGCTGCCTCATCATCATGATCAGGTTCTCTGAGGACACTGGAGGGCTCCATAGATCCATGTGCACCACCTGAGCCCAGCCCCTGCAGGGGAGAGGCCTCTGCAGCACGGCTTGGTCCAGAGAGCTGTGCCTGCAGCCAGCTAATGCTGATGCTCGACTAGGGCGGCTGGGCCGGTGGTTCCACATTGCTGGCTGGCTACCTCTGCCCACTGTGCTGCAGCTCAGTGGACACCCCACTCCCTCAAGGCCTGGCTCAGGGGTAATAGGTAACATCACCTTCCCCTTCCAGTTCGCTCTGTGGGGTCCAGCCCCGGCAAGCAGGGCTGGTGGTCTGGGGCCCTGTGTGAACTGGGTGTAGGTCTCAGATGAGTTCCTAGTGGGTGCCAACTGGGTGCATGGTGTGAGCAACCATCACAGCTGGCACAGATTGGTGTCTTCCTTGGCCCTCGGCTGAGACCGCCAGTGACTAAGAGCCCCCTGAGGATGGGGCACCTCTCACGGCTCCAGGAGGGTCCCTCCTCAAGTGTGGCGGAGGTCTGCCCTGTTGCGGTGGACAAATAGGGGCTCAGGCCTCCTGGGCTTTCAGTCTGGTGGTACCTTTCGCCAGCACTAATTTCACACCCCAAGTCCATGGACTGTCAGGAAGTGTCCCCTGCCTGTGGTGACACCATCACAGCTATGGGATCTGCCTGGACCATCTCATGAACCCTTTCTGTCCCTGTCTAACCCACGTGGTTTCCCCTGTACAGGGAAAGCATATACCAGCACCTGTCCCAGACGTCCGCCGACAACACCAACAAGAACATCAGCCAGTACAGCATTGACCCTACCACACGCTACCCCAACATCAATCTCAACTCCATAAAGCCCAACCAGGTAACTCAGTCACACCCCACCAGGGCTCTAAGCTGGTGGTGGAATGAGCAGTGGTCCTTGCTCCTAAAGCTGTTTCTACCTACCCGCTGGATTCGTGACCTCCACAGAGGAATGCTTGGGGGTGGTGTTCTTAGCTGACGTGACAGGCACCTGTCATCCTGGGGGCCAAGCACTGAGTGACATGAGTTTGCAAGATCTCTGCTCCACCCCTGGTGGCAATAAGGTCTGTCCAAATTGTAGGATCTCCCACGCCGTGCTGATTCCTCACAGCTCCAGCCCCTGCTCTCGGGATGGTAGAGGAGGGCTGGGGAGTTCTCACAGCTCTCAAGCAGGAGGGTAACTCAGGAAGGGACTGCTCAGCCCCCAGTTTTATCTCCTTTTCTCCTGACAGTGGAGGAGAAAGCAGGGAGCCACACAGTTCCTGCGTTGCTGGCTCCTCACAAAGGTCATGCAGGGGTGGCTGCAGGCCTTGTGTGCAGGATATGGGCTTGTTGTGTGAGAGTTTCCCTCTGCTGAGGTTTCAGCCTCCCTTCCCTGAGAGCTCAGTCCCCTTCTTCTGTGGCTGCCTTGCTGCTGCAGCCTCAGTAACCCACAGCCTGGGTGTTTCTGTGTGCAGGTGCGTGACCAGTACCTCACGGGAATGGTGGAGCACGATCATAAGAAGAGAGACAATCGCATCAGCACAGGCAAGTCCAGATGTTCCCGCCCTGGTACCACCCCTCTCTGCCTTTAACCGCAGCAGCATCTGGAAGCTTTCCCCTCCTCCCAGTGTCTGTACTGAGCCTCTGCCTCGCATTGCCCACTTCAGAGCCCCCCTCTCTGGTTTCCACCCTGTCACTGACCTCCTCATTACTGTCTCCTTGTGCCTGCTTGGACCCCAGCAGCTGGTGCTCAGGAGCATCCATGCCTACAGGGCGCATGCCCCTTTGACCAGGTGGAGGAGGACAGGGCATCCCTGAGCTAACAGAGCCAGTCCGGCCCTCCCTGCATCCCCTCTCTCTCCTGCTCTTCTGCAGGGAGATCAGAGTTGTATTAGCCCCCTTTAAATCCTGACCTCCCTGCCCTGCCAGGGGATGCTGATGCTATTGTCAGATTAACTGCAGGGTGCTCAGCGTCTCACAGGCTGTGGATCGGGCAGGGTTGGGCCCAGGGGGGTCTGCAGCTGAAATCAGGCAGAGGCACATCAGGGAGCGAATGGGTCAGCGGGAATCAGGCAGCCCCATAATAGACCAGGAACAGGAGGATGCAGAGAGGAGTGAGTGTTGTTAAGGAGAGGCTGGCTCCCTGAGCAGCACAGGGGTCCCAGGAAGTGAGTGAGAGGCAAGATCTTCCAGTGCTGCCTGGGGGCAGGGGTTAGTCCTCCTTAGGTAGCTGAATCCCCATGGGTAGGTGTGTGTTTAGTCCTGTTATGCCTGGGAACCCCATTGCAGCCTCACGGCCCCCTGTGCCAGGGTATGTACAGATAATTGACAGAGAGGGCAGTCCCTGCCTTGGCAAGCTCACGATCTGGCTGTCTGATAGGGTGGGACTGCTGGACGATATGCTCAGAGCCCGCATTTAATGCTGTCCATCCCAAATGCTCCCCATCACATTAGTTCACGTGTTCTTGGCTTCTCATGCATGTCGGCCAGCTGCAGTTTCCACCCCCCAGCACTGGCTGCATGTTTGCGAAGTGATCTCTGCTCGGAGCTTGTTTGGTGCCATGGGTGGTCAGGTCAGAGGAGCCGTGTGCCTTCCAGTTGTTTTAAAATGGTTCGGATAAACTCCACTTCCTCCCTGGTGTGATTCTCAGAGGGAAGCTCGCACAAGGAGCCTGTCTTCTGTGGTTCAGGCATCATCACCTGAGCAGCCTGTGAAATAAAGAAGCCAGAGGATAGCTCCCTCTCTGGGCTCTGGCTGGGAGGCATATTCCCCTCCCCAGGGGAAGGTTTGTTTTGGTGCCTAGACAGACAGGCTATTCCTGGGCGTGATTCTGGGCCTGTTGGAAAGCTCCCACTGACTTCAGGGGCACAGGACTGGGTTTCTAATCCAGGGTTGAAACCTGCCCTGGGCCAGGTGAGCTTTCCAGTGTGTGGGGCAGTGAATGAATCTTGTCTTAAGGGCCCAGCTTTTCCTCTTCCCTTGAACCGTGACATCTGCACACACTTCCCAGCTGGGTACATAAACCCTGGTGACACACCCTCTGGTGAATGTGGTAGACAGGGACTCGTGATGCCTGGCACAACTTCCTTGGCACACAGGGCTGGGCGTGCACCAATTAAATATTGATCTCTCTTTTGTGACAGCATTTGGCTTTCAGCTTTTGGCTGAGACAGCGGGAGAGCCCCGTGTCCGGGTCTGTCTTGGAGCTCCCATGCTGTGTGTGCTCTGTGGCACGTGCCCCCTCCTCCCTTCTTTGTCTCCAGGCCCCTGCTCTGCTGCCCTCTCAGCTTTCCCTCTCCCTCCTGCTCTCTTCTGCAGCACACGGGCAATCTTGAGGGCCAGGGGAGGTATGTCGGTGCTGGCAGAGGGGTGGGGAACCCCACTGACATGGGAGAGGGGGCAGCAGGACATGATGGTCTCGGCTTCTTCCCTAGAATCCCCTCACTGCCCCTCCTTTCTTGGGTTGAGCGCACCATGCAAGGGACACCATGGAAATGTGTCCTGGGCCTTGGCCTGTGGATCGGGATGGATTTGGGGCACCAATGGGCTGGCAGGGTAGCTGCAGGAGATGCCGTCCTCTCTGAGAATGATGTGGCCTCGCACTCGGTTTTGGGGCCTGATGACGTGACCAACTCGTTGGGTCATGGTGCAGCTGTACTTGGGACCCTGGCAGCTCCCGGAGCTGGTGGTTGCACCGCGGGCCGAAGGCTTGCTTGGAGGTGCGGTGTGTGGGGTTTCTTCCCTGACATGCTGGCTGCTCCCTGGCTGCGGAGCCTCTGCCCAGCCACCGCCCTGCCCTGACATGCCAGCGCTTCCTCTTTCTGTGTCCCCAGACTCCAGCAGGGGCTACGAGGAGCTGCTGCACTGGTGTCAGGCGCACACAGCCGGCTACCATGGCGTGGCTGTGACAGACTTCATGCACTCCTGGGAGAGCGGGCTGGCCCTGTGCGCCCTCATCCCTCACTTCCGTCCTGACCTGCTGTAAGTCTCCGGCCTGTCCCAGGGGCTGCTGAGTGGGTGGGTGGGTGACCTAGGCGGTGCTGCCCAGGAGGCTCAGCTCCTCTTAATTTGCCAGTGGAATTGGAGGGGACGGAGGTGTGTTACAGAAGGGAAAATGATGCCTCCCTCGCTGCTGGCCCCTGTTTCCAGTTCACTGATTCCTCCCTTTTCCCATTAGACCCTGGCTGCCCTGTCCACACAACGTCAGACCCATTCACTTGAACCCCACAGGCCAGGGGCTGATGCAGTCTCTTGGCCTGACCACTGAGGACAGCACAAAGCTGATGCCTTGTGTCTGTCCCTAGAGATTTTGACTCCCTAGCTCAGAATGACCCCATTGGGAATAACCAGATGGCCCTGGACCTGGCCGAGCAGGAGCTGGGCATCTCGCCTGTCCTCTCCAGCACTGAAATGGCCTCAATGTCTGAGCCTGACCAGCTTGGCCTCATCGCCTACCTGAGCCAGGTCTTCGATGCCTTCGAGGTGCCTCCAGGTGAGAAATCTCTGGACAGGGCTGGGTCTCCCTGGGCTGCTTTCTTGCCTCCCCCATGGTTGTAACTACATGCAGCCCCGGTTGTGTTCTCATCCAGCCTCGGTTAGGGGGAGGCTGGGTTTGGGGAACGCTGGCTGGGCTCTCTCGGGGCCGGCCCCATGTAACACGCGTGGTGTGGGTTCCCTCTCACAGAACCGGAGGAGCGGGTGAGGAAGCCGCTGACACCGCGCGGCACCAGGGGAGCCATCCTGTTCCTCAGCAAGCTCCAGAAGAGTCTGAGTCTGACACGCAAGCGTGCCCAGGTAATGGCCCCAGGGGGTCTCCATGTGGCAGGGCCCGGACCTGCGGCTGGCACCTGGTTGCAGCCCATGAGCTGCCCTGTTACATGGGCGCTGCTCCCTGGGGCCAGACAGCTGGTGCCCTTCCCTTCCTGAGCCCCCTCATGGGCAGCGGAGATGTCTGCCCTGCCAGGCGGCACTGAGGGGTCAAGGTGGGGCAGCACAGTGATATGGAAGGGATCTGGCCTGTCTGCCACAGCCTTGCTCAGCCAGCCCCATCTCTGATTTCAGGACCGCTCCCAGCAGGATGCTGAGACCAAGAAGGCAAAGAAGGAAGCAACGGTGAGTTTAGCTCCCTGAAATGTGCTGTCTGGGGCCAGGATGGGAGCTGGTGCACTGTGATGCTGGACACAAGACTGGGGTCCTTGGGTGCATCACTGCAGGGTGCAATGGGGAAAGCAGGCCACATCCCTGGGAAGGGAGTGCCTAGTGCCTGGAGGGAATTTGGTTACGGGGGAGTGGGGTATGTGGGGTACTGGGTGCTGAGGAAGGTCCAGGGTAGACTTGAATGGGATTGTGTAGTGAAGGGTGTACCCCCGTCCAGTGCACTGCAGACAGGATGCCCTACGCGAGTCTTATAATTAGCTTTCCATTGGCTAGCTTCTACTGGGAGGATCTCAGCTACATGCCTACTTTATGGAAATGGGGGACTTTTCCCTAGCTTGCTCCTGTGGCCTTTTGTCAAGGGCAAGCGAGACTCGGGGACATCCGAATCCCAAGCCTCCAGGCATGGGCCTGCACGTAGGATGTCCACCAATGGATCTGGGAGTATCTGAAGCCCCAGGCTGAAAAATCTGGGGTGGAGGATACTTGGTGGTTGTAGTGCCATGTATGGTGCTAGAATGATTGAGTGTTGCTCAATCGAAAGCATTCGAAACTGAATTGGCTAATTTGACTTGGAACACAAAAAATTTTCCAAAAAAAAGGCTGATTCCACATGGATCCCATAAGCACAGGCATGTGGTGCAGCCTCAAGGCACTGACCCGAGGCATTGTCCCCCTGCACATGTCTGGCAAGGTGGCTGTGCGGTGGGCTGGGGTGTATATGTGCTGCTTGTGTAGACGCTACCTGCAAACACCGACTGACAGAGCAGGCCCTCAGCCTCCTGCCCCATGCACCAGCCACATGTACTGATCCTTGTATCAGCTAGTTGATGGGCTGGAGGGGGAGTCTCAGGGCTGAAAATGTTCCTGTGCTCCTGGGCTGAAGGGGCCTGGGCTGCTGTGTCCCTGAGTGGCTCTGTCTGCCATCTGGGTCCTTCAGCTATTCTCTGCCCTGCCTTGCTGGCACTGTCTCCTCTCATTAGACCCCAGGCGTTTTGCCCAGACAGTGGGCGCACTCAGCCTTGAAGGTATGGGTGCTGCGTGGACAGCAGGGGGCTGGCACATAATGCCTGATGCTGCAGTATGGGCCCAGTCTCCTCTTGTGTCCACACTGGGGAAGGAGCCATGGTCCTGTTAACTTTTGGTGGGCCAGAATGACGCACTGAGCTTTCCCCTGTTGGATTGCTGTTTAGCTGGACTCAAGTTTGGAAGGTGACTCCTCTGTTGTTGACTTTGGCCAGGGGAGTCATGAGCAGCCTCAAACCCCGGAGACCGAGGTCCCCAAGTCCCCCACGGTGCAGAGGCAGGTCAGTGTCTGCTTCTTGCAAAGCAGCAAGGGCAACTGGGCAGATTGCTTTTGGCCCAAAGGTCTCCTGTGTTTTCTATAGGTGATGGGGAGGGTGTTGCAAGGGAAAGTCCAGTCCACTTAACAGGGACTGCCTGGCCTGGAGGTGAGGAGGGCGAAGCAAGGGGCTGCCCCCCTGGCTTTGGATCTAGGCTGATCTGGGAGTGGCCGAAGCATTCAGAAGAGCAGAGCCTAATGGTGTTCATACTCTTGTGTGCCAGGGACAGCCCTGGGGAGGGGCTATGGCATTTGCTTACCCCATCAGCCCTTTTGTGCCAGGCTCTGCCATGCATCCTTGGGCATCCCTTCCCTGCCTGAGCCTCTGACAGCCCCACATGGGCCCTGGAGAGGAGCCAACTCCCAGCTCACAAATGGAGCAGCCCAGACAGGTGTGGGATCAGCTGTCTGCCAGGGCCCGGCACTTCAGCCAGCAGGTAGTGCCCAGCCCTGGGGCCAGCCCTCTCAGCTGAGGCTATGTGGTCTCCTCTGCAGAGCTCGGCCGTGTCCCCCGCAGAGAGCAGCGATGCCTGCTACTTCTGCGGTCAGCGGGTGTACATCCTGGAGAGGGTCAGCGCCGAGGGGCACTTCTTCCACCGAGGCTGCTTCCAGTGCTGGCACTGTGGTGCCACGCTGCGCCTGGGCGACTTTGCCTTCAATGAGGAGGATGGTGAGTCTGGGGCTGGGGGTGGTGGCAGGTGACTACCTTAAGAAGGTACTGTCCAGGTGTAGGCTTGTGCCAGGGTCCTTAGCCCTTCCCTCCTGTTGTGCATTGTACCAACTGACTGTTCTCCTCCACCCCCAAATAGGCTGCTGGGCTGTTTGTCGTGGGCTGGTGTGACGGCCTCGCACAGCCCCTGCAACAAAGTGCTCCCCTTCAAACTGAGGTGCATGTCTGGGATGTAGGATGGTGTGTCAGTACTCCCACTTGCCAGTTCGCTGTCTGCAGTTTCTGTGATCGGCCCTAGCATCCCCTACACTTCACTGGCTCACTGCGACGGAGCGCTAGCAAATCCCTATAGGATAGCCTTGGCACCAGTGCTGCACCAGTGGGAAGAAACAGTGCCGGCTGTGGCCAGCTGGAGAGGAGGCCAGTGAGACCTCTCCAGACCAGAGACCAGTAAGAAGCACAGGATCTCGGTCTCACTTCCACTGCACTTACAACCTGTTTTCAAGGAACACGGGCAGCTTAAAACCTTGTGGTTAGCCAATGCTGATTTTACTAGGAGCACATTGAGCTACTAGAGGAGGGTGGGGGCTTAAAAATGCATTTTACCTGCCCTGATTCCTG